TGGCAACAAAGAACGAAATATCAAGCGAGTGGGCAGTCACAAGCATTAATACTTAAACACGAACAAGTTTTTTAAATTTCTAAAGGAAAATTTCCTTCTCACATGGAAAACAAATAATTGACATAAACTGAATAATAAGTTGGAAAAAAATGAAAGGTCAACAGCGAACAGTACGTATCAACACACAGCAGATTCTATATTTTTGTTTTACTTATTAATTTAGGTAGTTTGAATAATAATTTTGAGCTTTATTACAGTTATAATCACGCTTTATAATTACCGTAGGATAGAGATGCCATTTAACAACAAAGATTGGCTAGCTGTGTCTTATTTTTCACTTTCTTATCCCGTTTGTTTAGTTTTCATTCATTTTGCGAGTTTATGTTAGAATATGCACTTAAATTTAAAATTTCGATCGTAATGCATAAAAATTCAATGAAATGTTAATAAATCAAAGGTTTCACAGGAAGTATATGATGCATGTTTTTAAAACTTCCATTTTATTTTATTTTAAAACCATCGTTGAACAGCCGACCCAGTTTTGGGCTTATGACTACTAATGTTCAACTCCGTAGCCTTGTAATTCTGAACTCAATCCAGAGGACAAGGAAACTCCTGGATCAGTACCCCCAGAGGTATGACGGAGGACTTTGTGAATCGACAGATTCAACGTGCATTAGTGACCGTTTACTACACGGGGAGTCTTCGGGCTGCGGGGATCAAACCCACGATCTCTTGGGCATGAGCCCAGCGCCCTACCAACCAGGCTATCCCGGCCCTCTAAAAATTCATTTGAAAAAGAGAATGAGAATACATTTAAAGCTAGACTGAAATAAGTATCGAATGAGCGAGTGATACGAATTAGGAAGAAATTGCGAAATAATTTTAGGGGTTGACGAGGGCATTATAATACGATTATAATTCGTTATAGTTCGATTCAAAAAAATTTCATTTTCTGCCCAAGCTTGCAAAATCGCACGTGCTCTTTTTATAGTTTCATAAGTTAGCTTAGATTTTTGTCGCTTTATAGAGCGTTTGATGTTCCGAGAATGCTAGTTGTTTCGCCGATTTATTACACTTTTTTGAGCTGTAAGGGCAACCAACGGCCATTTTAACCGTTAAAATTCTCTCGATGAAATCGATAACTTTGTTTCTTTACGTAAACATACATCGAAAGATAGAATCAATACAAAAGAGAATAAATAAAAATTTCTATAGTGTTTTGCTTTGCGATTTTTAAAAATTACAGCCAATTATTACTAAAAAAACAAAAACATACTTTGTATCATCTGGTTGTGGAACAAGAATTGTGAATGTGTTTTTAATTAATTAATACACCAACATTAATTTAGCTTTCGAAGAAACGTATTTTTATTATTGCACGACTCATTTAAATAAAAGGGAAATCTGTAATGAAATTTTCTTACTAACCTTTATTAGAAAAGAAAGACGTCATGAATAGAAGAACTTTGAAACGGAGTTAATTAAATAGGGTTCATTTGAATGCGGCACAACGCAGCAAAATATCGGTGAAACATATGTTACATCATTATAAAAGCGTCATTTATGACGCCGAAACAAAACAAAAAATGTGCCGAGTGTAGAACATAGTGTAGATGCATAAAAGTATGTGAATCGAATATTTTAACATCTCGCGTGCTAAATATTATCGCTTGTCACAATTACGGAAAGCGAAAAAATATACGAATGCAATGTTTAGAATATCTTAGAACACATTAATCAAACAAAGTTAATGAATTCAAGGATTTTGTAGCCTATCCACCTATCTTTAACTTTTTAAGTCTTTTAAAAATGAAATCAGCGTAACAATGTCACTTTTTTGTGTTACTGAGACATTACAATTTTGTAGTGCAAAGCCGAATCTTTACTTTAAAAAGGTATTTAAATAAGTTTCCATCTATAGTAAGTTTGTATAAAATGCATATTTTCTAAAATTACATTTAAAAGGCTTGCAATAGTACAGATTTATGGCATTTCCTCCCTTCCTTATATTGGCCGGGATAGCATGGCTAGGACGGCGTTGGGCCCATGTCCAAGAGGTCGTGGGTTTGATCCCCGCCCACCGAAGACTCTCCATGAATAAAATGGTGACTGGTGCACGCTAAATCAGTCGCGATCACAAAGTCCTCCATGTTCCCATAACACACCATACCGCAGGGAGTACTGAATTAGAGATTGATCGTGCTTTGGTAGGTCAAAATTACGATCTGTGGATGAATGGATTGTGATCATACTTTTTTTTTAAAAATTACACATATTAGTACTGTATAAATATTATTTATACAGTACTGCATTATCTAATATGTATATACGTAAGGCTGTGATAACAAATCACTTATATTAAATCTCATTGATTATAAATGTTTCATTCTTATAATTGGGAATTGGTTAATAAATTAGAAAATTAAATAAGATTTTTTTTCTGTTTACGAACTTCAGTGTAGAAGATAAGAATGTAACTTTAATATGACAATATTTTATTATTCGTTTCATGTCATTTTCATATTTTAATGTGCTCATTGTTAACATGTAAAGTAATTTGCTGTTTTACTACCAATAAATATATTTCAATTATACCAATTTGAAATTTATTGTAAGTAATTTTAAATCTTATTAAATATGAAGCTAATGTATTCATCTGTAATTAAAGAAAAAAGACTTGTTCAGCAGAAAATAATTTAATTTAAAATTGCTTTCTGATCTAAATTAATATACTTTTCATTTGATAAATTGATTCTCTATTTTTACAATTCATTAAACTTTAGAGTTTGATAGGAAAAAAAATAACCGACTGCATTTATTCAGAAATTAGTTTGCTATGATTAAATAATAATATAGCCCTTTTTATTATTAGTGGTGTTAAAAAATTTTAGTTTCAGTATTGTCGTTAAAAATATTTTGTATTATTTATACATTAGAGTTATAATCGTTAAACTAGAAAAAAACTTTAAAATCTGACTGAAATAACAAAAAACAATGCGTGTATATGTTATCTTATATATTTTTAAATAAAACATGATTTTGATCAACTCTGATAAAATGCCTTAAAGTTTCGCCCAGGGTCCTTAAAACCCTAAGCATGTCTCTAGTCACAAGCCTCACAAGTATTAGAAAGTTAGTGTGAAAAAGTTTGCCACCTTCGACCTCCGATTCTAATCAAACTGCTGAGCAAAATTACTGTTAAAGGGTACAATTCGGAACAGATCCTAATGCTTTTAAAATTTTGCCTACATTAGATGTTACGTTTGATGCATCCTTTAGAAGTTATAATGCAAAAACTGAAAAAGTGGATAAAATTAAGTGCTTTTGTTTGGCTAATTTTAGCTCACCTCAGAAACTGTCATGTTATTTTTATTTGGATCAAAAATCAGATACCATGAAAATTAATTTATTAATGAAACCTAGCTTTTTTTCCTTTCCAACTATTTGAAACATTAAGCCAACAATTTGACCCACTGAAACCATTTTTCAATTTTAAAAGCATATGAATCAAAATTATCATGAATATACTTTTGCATTTGCTTTTCCATTTATCACCAACAAATTGGATCTTATTTTTCAATGATTTATTTACATCAATTAGAGACATTTTTAAAATGCCAACTGATATTTTACACACAAAAGACAAAATTTGTTTCAAAATCACTAAGACATTGACACGCAAAAACAAAACATCAATTCTTGATTTTATTAATAAAAGTAATAAGAACGAAAAAACGACAAAAATACAAACGTAAAAATTATCGCTTAGTTATATTAATAAAATCAATCTTGATTTTCTTAATAAATGGTTTTTGAAATGTTTTTTTATTAATGAATTATTATACGAAAAAGAAATAAAATAAAAACTTTAAAAATTATCGCTCTCTTTTACACAAATAAATAATAATCAATCTTCATTTGCTTACCAAATCTCGATATTGTTGAAAATGTAATTACAATTAAAAAATTAATAAAATAAGAACTTGAAAAATAGTCGCACTGTATAAATGAATAAAATCAAGTTTAATTTTCGTAATAAATCTTGATTTGAAATGTTTTTATTATTAAAATAATTACAATACGAAAAAGAGGAAATAAAAACTTCAAAAATTATTACTCTCTTTCACCGATATAAATTAATAAATAACAATCTTCATTTCCTTAACAAATCTCGCTATTATTGACGAGATGAAAAATGAATAAATTAGTAATTTAAATTATCGCATTGTATAAATTAGTAAAAATCAAGCTTATTGATTTTCTTCTTGACTAGTAATGTTTAACAATAAAGTAATTAAAAAACGAAAAAGAAATTTTTTAAAAAAATATTCAAAAATTAACGCTTTCTTTCACCCACAGATATTAATAAAAATTCTATCTTCATTTCCTTGGCAAGACTCGCTGTTATTGACGAGATGAAAAATTAATTACAATTCGAAAAATGAATAAATTAAGAACTTAATTATCGCATTGTAAAAATGAGTAAAATCAATCTTGATTTTATTGATTAAGTATTTACAATCCAAGGAAATTAAAAAAATTAAATCGTCAAAGTAATCGTTCTCTTTCACCCATATAAATTAATAAAATCAATCTTCACTTCCTTAACAGATTCGCTATTATTGAAGTAATACAATTCGAAAAATTAATAAAATAGGTTAAATTATCGCACTATATAAATAAATAAAATCAATCTTGATTTTCGCTTAATAAATCTTGATTTTATAGATCAAGTATTTACAATCTAAGAAAATGAATAAAATAAAAAATTCAAAATATATCGCAATCTTAAAAAAGAACATCTTATTTTCTTTATATATTAATAAAATAATGCGCAAAGAAAAAAAATCAGGCTTAAAAGAAGGAAATGAAAAATCCGAAATTTTTTTTTTTATCTGACACGCCACCATAACATAATACATGCAAGATGCGAGAAACATTATGATTATTATTAGCCAAGAGAGAATGCTATGAATGAAATAAATCTTGCAACTCACCATTCCTTGTCGCCAAAACGCACGCGTAAAAACAATCATCCATTCATTTACCACATCACAATCAACGTTAAAGAAGTCGAAGTGCTACACTAAATGTTCCCAAAACATGAAAAGAAACAGTTAAAAGGCAAATCACATTTGATGGTTTTAGGGCTGTAACTGAGTAAAGGTATTCCCGAGGAACAGTGTCAGCGGGACAACTTGCTAAAGCCCCGGCGAGGATCGATCGCCCCGGCACTGCGGCAGCCGACGCCGCCCCGATTGCTGTTGCGGCGATAGTGGAGCACAAAGAGGGATGGGCTGCCGGGGGTGAGTGAATAGTGAGGAATGACCCAAAACATGAGCGGCAGGCTTCATAAAAACGAAGAAAAAGTCATAGATATCTTTTGCTTTTTGCTTAACCGTGATTGCTGCCAATACAGAAATTGCCGATAAACACTAAAAATCGATCTGGGAATATAGTGTTTTTACTTGTTATGGGAAAAGACGGCTTTTATAGTGGATGTTCTATTTTGATGCTCTTAGAGGAGAAAATAATAAAATAAAAAGATTGGGGGGAGGGGGTTGGAGAGGATGGATTGTGCGTAATCACTTGAGCAAATCGGGCTGCTGTCGTTGATTTGTTCTTATTCATTTCCGTCGGCTATATTTTTTCGCTACTTAAATGAGACTTTTACGCGAGCAGGAACGGATCTATAAAAATTCCATGATTTTTGTAGCCTTTCCAAACCTTCTATTGCAAGGTAGCAGGAAATTTTATTTCAAAATTTTTTAAACCGGTGCTATGTTGACAAACTTTACGCGATGACATTCGACATTTCAGATGAAAGAGACAGGAGCCGATTGCAAAACACGACCCTCTTTAACTCGGCCCGGGGTTACAATTTTAAAAATATTTAGTAATTGAGTCACAATTGAGAATCTTCGTAATCTTTTAAAAAAAAAAAATATATTTTTGAAAGTAATATGTAGTGAAACGTGTAAACCTTTTTTGGGGCGGTCGGGTAAAAACGGCCTCATTCATTATTAACAATAATATGAACAATGTAATAAATTGTATCATTTAAAAAGCGCAGTTTTTAATAAATATTTAGATAAAGAGGACGGCTATATTTTCGTTTGAGGTGCATACGATGACCACAGTTCTTACGGCTATAAATTTTTCTACCCCTCGAACGTTAAAATTGACCACACCAGTAAGTTGATCATAAGTCTAAGTTGATATTTATAATCAAATATCAAAAATGTTAATCAAGATAATTTCTGTATTTATAAAAAATAATAATAAATAGTAACATATTCTAAACTTCAAAAATATTATATTAATAATGAATCAAAAGACCTAAATTTTAAGTCCAAGTTTGTTTTAAAAATGACCTACAATTAACTCCGCAGACAAATAAGTTTTCTCCGTAGACAAATAAGTTTTATTTTTTAATAAGTTAGACGAATAAGTTATAAGTTAGTACACTGTAAAAAAAATACCCTTTATTTTTTTCGGAATTTCTCTTTACATGTAACAGTTTACAGCCATTTTGTTGATAAAACGGTTTTTATCCGTTTTTTACTCTAATCACAAACGATTTAAAATTGGCAGTTGAAATTCTATTTTTGTCATGCAGTTTTGCGGTCCGTGACATACCTTTACCTTTTCTCCAATCATTTTACGAATATTTTTTTATACTAGCTTCAACTTATTAGCAACTATTTAATGGTTTTGGACATTGTATAAATAAAACTACGATTTGACTTTATTATAAAATTGATATAATATTTGCAGGTTTCCGAAATTAGACATCCGCAACAAGTCTGATTACGGATAAATTTTTTTTGTAAATTTTTACAGAAAATTTGTTTCTGTATAGTAAAACACAGCTAAGCCAGCTGGCGGCTTAAAACCGTAAATTATAAGGATTATTATTATTATTATTTTTGCAGTGTAGGTAACTAAATATTCGTCTAGTAGACTTTCGACATTTGCCTGTTTTTAAAAATAAAAATCAGTAACATTTCATAATCTTCAAAGGGTCATCCTTGGTGAGCTTCATATTTTGAACACAGTTCGAAATTATAGTTGACGAAAATGGGATACAGCTATTAAGAAAACGGACCATAGCAAGTGATAACACTTTTCAAACAAGCGTTATGACTATAGCAATTTCGAAGAATCAAAGGATGATTTAAGATGCACGTTGCACCAGTGTTATTTTTTATTATTTATTTACTTTAAGTAAGCAAAATTAGAAATGTATATATATATATATATTAAACACGGTATTTCAAGCTATGTTTACTTTTTTAAACACGCATTTTGAGCTATATTCACAATAAAAAAGTTAAGCAATAAAAAGAAATGTTAAATTTTATCACCTGTCTGTAAATAACATAAATATTAATATAGCATTAATAAACATTTAATAATATTTCCTCACGTGACTTTGGCATGAATAAAGAAAGGATATATAAAAATAAAACTGCTTTTAAATCGCAGTTTGTGACGAAAATATAAACTTTTATAAATACAGATTAACTAAATTTCTAATGACAAATCGATTCCCTTTGTGCTATTACTTCATATTTCTTTGCAAGCAACCTTAGGATTTTTATTTTTAAGAAAATAAATCAACAAACACTTTACATTTAAGAGCACTAGATTTTGAGTTCGAACGCTTACAAACAAAATATTCAAAAAATGAAGCTTAGAATTTTCGTCTGAAAATAATTTTTTTAGGCCTTATCAGCAATTATAAAAAAATTTTTTTTTAAAGAAAATGTCCCAATATGTGTATGGACGGATAGATATTTTATTAATGGAAGAAGTTGGCGTAAAAATATGATAAGCCAGTTAAATTTTCTTGAATAGAGTTTTAAAATAATATTATTTTAAAAACAGCGTGCTTTTTATGTACGCAATAAGATGTTCCTCTGTATTGCACCACTATCGAGTAAAACTTCCTTCAGAAACTTGTTAAATACACAACTTGAAACAATACTTAAGGAAAGTTGAAAGAAATACTTACGTAAGTAAAAAATGTATTATTAATAAAAAGAAGAAAAAATGCATGGCTTATACCGCCTAGCTCTTAACAAAATGTCTGAAAATGTAAGAGCTCAACGGTATTCCAAAATAAAAAAAATTTAAAAAAAAACTGTATAAGTAAAAAAAAAAGTTTTTCAAATCCAAAATTTGCGGATTAATAAATAAACACAAATCCTGCGTTTTAGGGTTAAAATAATATTTTGAATAAATCATTGATCCTCTAAACAATTTCGTTGTTTATAAACTATGTGGAAATAATAGCTGTTTAGTTAAAAAGAAACTATTCTTAATGATAAAATATAAACTATCAAAACTATTAATTAGAAAAAAACTAGACCAAGATAAAATTACTTTTACTTTGCGTGAATTTTATAATTAACTGCGGGAGAAAAAAAAAAGATAATAAATTCAAACCTTAAAAGAATATTGATTAGAAAAGATAATTAATGTATAAAAAAGGTCAGTTATAAAAAATTCACGCGCACACAGTAAGTTCTCAGGACAAACTCTTAATTAAGCAAATTATTTTAGTTGCATCATCACAAAACAGAGCCAGTTAACTATTCAGGGCTAAGTTTTAGGGAAGAAGAAAAAATTGGTTAAAAGAGAAATACTTCAACTCTACTCAAGAATAAATTATGACATAAAAGGTTCCGTCGCCAAGTTAATTTCTCGTAGCGAAGTCGCTAATGAACTTTTTACACGAAATTTCAATTTACCGCCCAATAAAAATAACTCATATGACATGAAATATTTTATTCAAATCACATAAAAAGACATTATTGCATTTTTTTGTGTGACTGTAAATAGATATACTTACACTTTGTTTTTTCAGGATTTTGTTCTTTCTGCATTAAATTTTGGGTGGTATTTTTTGTTATTTTGTCAATTGTTGCAACATTACTAAGAAACTTAAAAATAATTAGAATAATGAATAATCTTAATTATCTATCTATATTATATAAAACGCTAATACGTACGTATGTATCAATAAAACCGATAATATTTCTTTTCTCGCGCTGGCAACAGTTTTCATTTTTAATTGATAGGCTTCGGCGCGCAAGAGCACGTAGTGAGCATCATATGGCTAATCTATATTATATAAAACGCTAATACGTTTTAATTGATAGGCTTCGGCGCGCAAGAGCACGTTGTGAGCATCCAGTGAGCAGGGGGCGAAGCCTCCTAGTATGAGTGTAAAATTAAACCATGACTTACCATACATTATTTTAAACTTTATTGGTAATAATATTAGTAACGAAATTGATTGAAGAAATATGATCATTCAAAGGTATGAAAAGTTGTTAAAATTTAAAGAGCACAATTTAAATAAGAGCAAATAAATAATTTAAAAAAAATTCAAGCAGCTTAAAAATGAAAGTATTGGGGAAGCATTTTTTAAAAACCTTTATAATCCGAAAAAGGTTATAAAGTCACTACGAGAGATCTTTTTATTTTTTATTTTTAATTATTTTTTAAACAATTAACGCTATTTGTTAAACGAGTAATTTTCCAAAGTTCCAATTCAGAGTTTGAGGACGTAGACGAACTAAGTTTTTACTTTCTACGATCTATTAAAACGTACAAGTTGCAGCAAAATTTCTATGGTCCTCTTTTAAAGCGCAATTACCTTGTACAAAACAATAAATTCTTTAACTTTTCCTGTTTGAAAAAGAATAATATAATTCTATACGCGCAGGGGGTGTCTAAACTTTTTCTGCCAAATCAATCACACTGTTCCGTCACTAAATGCCAAGGGCGGAGAATGCGGCAACCGCCCTAAGCATCGAATCAATGACTTAGTATTCAAAAACTGAATCAGGCCCTAGACTAGGGAGAGGCAAATTTGATAGCAAGTTCTGGATCATTAAAATTTAAATATCTTTTATATTAAATAAAAAAGAAAGTTTTTTGTTGGAAATAAAATACTCTTATAAAAGAATAATTTTCTTAAAGATCCACATAAAATGTATCTAAAATAAGGATATATATCGTTTAAATGCTTCAACCAAAATTTCATAGTTTCTTTTCCTTAGCCCTTCCACACATTACATTATTATACGATATTTTTCAGAGGCCCAAAGTAATATAGCATGACATTCTCTACCAAATAAACACAAAACTTAAATAATTCAAGAGAATTGTTAGAAAACAGAGACTAATTGCATAAGTGTAATTTTTTTTAAAATACTTTAAATGGTAAACGTAAATAATTAATTGCAGGTGAAAATTGTGCTCGGTCAAGTAAACCATAATAGTGCTCTTAACATAACGTTAATGCTACATATAACTAGAATTGAGCACTGATTCGGTGAATCGATTCACCAACTTTCAACTGATCCGAATCGATTGATCGTTCGTAGATTCGAATCAGTTGATATCATTGGACTAGATTAAAATGATAGTGAATTATTGCTTCACAGTGCTGCTATGTTATATATGGTTAAAAATTTCTTGCAAAACTTTTATTCTTGCGCATTTAGTATTAAGGAGTTAAGACTTTCCATTCAAAGAATACGATAGATTTACAGATAAAAAA